TATATATATGTATATATATATATATATATATATATATATATATAGTGAAAGAGACAGAGAAAGGAAAGTGGGAGACTTTGAGGCCCCTTTCTGTTAAAGGATTAATTGATAAATCCATAGCAAGAGTAGTAAGGTCATAGTTTTATGAGTTTGACAGTATGTCCAGGTTTTTAAGATGATTGGCAGTGGAGCAAGTGTGGTGCAATTTGGCAACGAGTTTTTCAATCCGGTAAGAAGATTCTTGTAGAGCACAGTACATTACATACTCTGGCCTTGGTTAATATTTTCACTTACGGTATTGACTTAGATCGTATCAAAACTGAACTATTATGGTAAATAAATGTGTATACTCTCTTGAAGGGCCAGAAAAAACCGAGGTTACAAGGCGTTAAGCCTGACAAGAACGCACCAAGTCATTCTCGAATATACACATAACCTAAAACTGATAATAAGTGATAAAAAAAAACTGGCTTTTTGGATCTTATATGTGGAAAACTGGCGTTTGGCTTTTTGTGTCTTCACCTGTCACCTGTAGGTTTGGGTCTTATAGGCAGAAAACTGGGGTATCTTGAATAGGGCTCTCCAAGTGTTTAGTAGTAATTGGTAACCATAAGAATGATGTACAACGGAACTGAAATTCATCATTTTTGTGTTTTGCAGTTCCATCAGCGAAGGAGTATGGTGAAAAATTTCCTCATATAACCGCAAAGTAGTGGACCTATTATGCTACGATGCTTTTTTTAGGACACTTTCAGTACTTCTACTATTCGCTCCTGAATTGTACATGACGAAAATCTCTTCAGAATAATCCGGTAGAGATCCCTGTGACGGGCTTCACCTATGGGAAACGACTTCGAGTTGTTCTAAGGACAACCGACAAGAAGGATAAACAGTTTCATGTAAGCGTTATTCTATTCAACCAATTAACCTATTCGATTATTCTTATTCATTATGACAATTTGTACGGTGTCACTGATCTCTGGTTAATGAATATCGTCTTACTGAATTCGTCGTTTACTTGAACATTCGTACCGTAAATTTTTCACTCCTTCGGTTTATGCACAGTCACGGAGCGCATTATTTTGTCACTGATATCTATTAAGCAACCATATGTATTGACAGCAATGCGTACATTCGCTGGAAAGAGGACCGTATGCATTGATTTCAACAACTTTCTCGCTGTTTGTTTTATCACAAAGGGTTTATTTGCATGACTTTTTGTCTTCAATCGATGGCTTATCATTTACAGACTTTACGACAGTTGCACTCCAAGAAAAGCTACTCTCTAAATTTAATGACTTATAAAAAAAGTATTTTTAGAGGTTTTTTCCAATATCTCCCGCGACGAGAAATTGGATCCATTGCTAAGTGGCTACCACATGAAATTATGTATAGCCCCCACCCCCTCCATATGTTAGGATAATAAATTAAAAAAAGACAAAATAAATGCAATGTAAATAGAAATAGAAAAAAACTAGAATGAATGGATTGTAAACAAATGTATTCCGTTCTAAGTGAAACTTAAGGCGAAGCTGTGTCCGTTCACCTTCAGCTCATTAAGAAAGTAAAATTTCCCTCTTGTACAAACATGATGTCAATGAAAATATTCAATAGTTGCTGCTGTTTCAGATGTTTCGCCCTCCTCAAAGCCTGGAAAGCTCAAATTGACTAGGAACCTACTCACTCAAACAGTTTCATAAGCCCAGCAAAAAACTTGTTATCGAAATTCCATTCTCATAATAAGCAGCTACTTTTAAACACTCATCGTTTTATTCTTTATAACTCTTCCAGTTATCGTTCGAGCCCGGTGGCACAGCTTCTTACATGGATGAGGAATGTGCCTGGCTCAGATCAAGAAATCAGCCTGGGACCTCGTCAGGATAAAAATACTAATTTATTGATCAGTGCCGAAGTTAATGGAAAGTTGGCTCTGAGACTAAATCGTTATGAACAAAAATCTTGCCATTTCGGATTTCCATCTGTTTTTCTTTGCATTTATGCAATCGCTTGAAAGGATGAATAGAGAACGTCGTTGCATTAATCACTTTTATTTCAACTAATTTGTAATGAATGTAAAAACCTAAAAGCGAAGTCTCAATATCCAAGACCGACTTTCTGTTAATCTCGGCAGTGATTGATAATTCGATGTTATTCTTCAACAAGCAGACACGAGGTTGTTCCGCGTGTCTGCTTATTGAAGAAAAACATCGAAGTCTCAATAATTGGTACACGCTCATTTTTCAGATTAATCTAAGAAGCGGATCTGACATCGTCGTTCATTTCAATCCTAGGCTCAAGGTAAATATTCTGATTTCGCTTTGTCGTCTTGTTTTTGTTGGCAGAACTTCCAGATTTGTCAGAGAATAAGGAGAAGCTCTTGAAATTGGAGTAAACGTAGCTAATAAATCATGTTGCAACTGTTGCAGACTAACAAGAATAAGTAAAAGACAAAACGACGGAAAGCTGGGTCAAGCTGGCTTCGTCTTTCATGAACACTGTGTCTTAAAATGGCCTACGAAAACTTTTCTAAGTTACTTTCAATGAACAATGGGGTATACAGTCTTGTTGAAAGTGGCCTTAAATTCATGCGGAGCTCGTTCGTTATTGCTCGCTGAGCCGTGCGGTGGTATTAATAGCGCTTCAACCAATAGCCGTAACCAACTGCTGGTGAGCACCGTTTGTAGCAGTAAATTAACAATTTCTGCAATCACCAGAGCAGATCTATCGCTGATTCAAACCAGTGTTTTGTCGTCGTAGAGGTCTGGTAGCAGTTTGCCCCACGATGGATGGACGGAGGTGGGAGTTCGGAATCGAACCAACAACCATTATCAAGCTAACCTCAAATCGTTACGCTACACGCCTATTGAATAGATAATGAATAAGGTTCTATGCGTTAAGCAAATCCAAAGAATAGGGTTTGCAAAATTAGTGGCCCTTTAAGGATTGATTGAAGCAGTGGATACTGTTATTGTCGGTAAAACAGCCGTTGATGAACCGTGGAAATCAATGATGTGAATAATCCGACAATAGTGAACCTAACAGAATCGCACACAAGCGTGTTTTCCTACGTAGTTCTATATCATTGCCGATATGGTTGGACTACCGAGACGAATTGTGGATTTTATATGAAAGAGTCAGCAGAAGAACAAAAATATGGCCAATCATCTACTTAGTTTTAACCTTTGCATTGCAGTAGAAATGAAATGGATATAATCAATTTCTACAACATGATTTCATTCATTCCTCTAAAACTAGCCAGATTTTTACTAGATGGACAGTACCAAGTACTACAGAAACACCAATCTCCTACTCTGTTCAAGATCTCAAAAATGCAGAAACTGCTTGAATCGACTATGGAGACATCCTCAACTATAAAACTTGTATGACAGCGCCAATAACCGACATCAGCGATCTCTCCAACACTATTCCTAATAAGCCTTTCCTTGGAATTATCACTAACAAACATTGCAATTCCATAAATATACATTGAATATGGAGTACCATCTGATGTCTCGGAACAAAAAAAAGCAGAGATACCACATCGAAGACGTGTGGACGAAAAACTGAGTTTACACTGTTGCTTGCATAAGGAGCGGATTCGAATTACACGTTTTCATTGAGGATTCGGCTTCTACATCGTCCATTGAGTGACCGATCACTTTCCATTTCAACTTTTAATTTCGTTTCGATTTTAATGCCGCGTCCAAATCAAATACACCACCAATCTATACCTATTGAAAGGATCGCTGCTGAAAAGATAGTTCCCTCAGATCCGCATGGTGGTGAAGACCTGAAAACGCCCTTGCAATGTTAATTCAGGACCTCAGGGGAGATCAGATTGGCCAACCAGCAGTAAGCCTGCTTTTTACGCCGCACACTGGGTGCTTCCGTCTACTTTGTCAGGTGGTGAGACGACCGGTGATAGGCCACAAAATCTCTGGCTGTGCAGGGAGTCACTGTAAGCAGATCTGGCGAACACAAGAACGCCACGTCATGGGGATTGTTTCCTAATCTGCATGTATAATGCCAGAGCACTCTCCACAGACCCCGATCTTCACGTCTTTCTTGAACCCACAGATTGCATCAAATTCCATGTGGTCATCCTGAGTGAAACAAAAAGCGGGCAGACCGACGCATGTCAGCTAACAATGGGACCCTTGTCACGAAATACGGGATAGGGAAATTTGAATTAGGGGAATGAAATGGTGATGGAAACGTCTTGCAGTACTCCTATTTGCACCACGCGTCATCCATGGTAACTCGTTTTTCCAAACAAGGAAAGCCGTGGCTTGGCAGGGGAGTCTCCTGACGGCACGACTCACGCGGAGATCGACCATATTCTGATAAGCAAAAGATGTGCCTACTTGAGGTAGACCCATCATTCTGTACTGGGTCCTATCACATCGCATAAAGATTCTATTCAGCCACAAGATGGAAACGATTTCATGTCGCTGATCAAGAAAAATTACACTTCTGTACGAAGAGAACTTTGTGGACGAAATTCTACCTAAACGTTTCTGGCTGACTAAGAATGACCCGGCGGAAGGCAACAAGCTACTTGTGAAAGGTCTCAAAAGTTGTGTCGAATTCGCCTCAATTACTCAAGCAAGAAGACCAGATCGTATCTTCATTGCCACTAAGGGGTTGTTCGAGAAGAGAGGAAGACTAAAGCTTGCTCCTACTGCTACACAGCTGACACGGCTGATAATAAATACCAGCTTTGAAAGGGATTTTCTCGAGGATTTACATCGGTATGTGTAAAAAAATTCATTGAAAGCACGTTAAATTCCCTACTATTCGTAGCCAAGATAAGACTAGCATTGCATCATGCCGTGACATGGAATTGATAACGGAGTAGCTCTATACCAATGTCTTTCTTTCCATAATGCCCGTCTCGGACCCCGAAAACCCCAGGGGAGAAAAATCGCCCGGAATTCTGACCCCTCAAGTTCGACTTGTGATAGAAAGTATGGGGAGAGGCAAAGCTCGAGAAGCCGAGCCACCATCGATTTGAAGGCCACAGATTACGTGTTCTTGCAACCTATACGATATCTTGTTTTCTGAAAGAGAAAACTCCAGGCCAATGAAGGAGCTCGCGTACGATAATCCTGCCCAAATAGGGTGACCGAAGGGGTCTTCGTAACTTCCGTCCGATGTGCTTGTTAATGTACTGTACAAACTGTTCACGAAGATTATCTTTTTGCGCATATCGGAGACTATGGATAAAGCACAACCACTTGAGCAAGCAGGATTACGATAGGGTTCTTGCCGCATAGACAACGTACAAGCTGTGTTACGGGTCGTAGAAGTCTGTCGGTTGTACCATCTAGCCTTTGTCCTGACTTTTGTCGAATATGAAAAGTTGTTTGACAGTGCCGAAGCCAATGCAATCCTATCATCGGTCATCTAGCAAGGAGTACACTCGTACTATATAAGAACTCTATCTGAATTTTATCGGAACTTCACTCCTAACATACAATCTAAAAATGGCTTGGAGAAGACGACACCATATCGCTAGAACTGTTCAGTGCAGCGCTGCAGTGTATAACGAAGTCACTTGATTGCGGCGAGAAGGGCATGCGTTTTGATGGAACACTATCAGATCTCCACTTCACAGATGACGTCGTCATCTTTTCGAGGAGTGCCACTGGAGCAGAAAAGATACTCAGTGAACTCAACCAAGTGAGAAAAAAGACTGGACTGCGCAAAAATAGGACGAAAATTCTTCATAATAAGCCGGTGGTTCGAGGGCGAACAAATTGAAGCAGGTAGCTCTCTGATTCGGAGACCACCCTCGCACGTGTAACTTGGACTTTAATGAATATGGGAAAATTGAATAAGTAATTAGAAAGAAGAAGGAAAGCAGCGTAGGCTTCATTCGGGCCTCTGAATGAAACCGCACACCTAGTAAAGGAATCCGCAATCCGAAAATCAGCACTCACCTTCTATATTCAACAGACCCCGTGGTCAATTAAGAGATACGTGAGCTGGCACTTAAACTACACCAAGAATACTGCGCACTATTCACACAGCGCTTTAACGATGTTTAATGGAATAAAAATGGCACACACTACATATTGCCTAAATGCGAAGCTTAGACGGAGAACACACATCGATAGTAAAACATAGATTGGCTGGTCATATAATGAGAAGAGCAGACAACAGATGGACGAAAGGAACTGTAAATTGGACTCCACGAGGATGTAAGCGCCCTCTAGGGCCGCCACCTACGTGTTGAACAAACGTGTTCGTAACCAAGGTCAGTAAACTGTACTCACACCCGCAGTTGTTCTACAGATCACTCGACTGTGCTCGAATCAAACCACCAACCAAGGACGACGATTGCGAGGCAAAGAGATGGATGGAAATGCGTTTGAGTTCGCGCAATTCGTGAAGGTGAGCCACCCAGGTATCCAAGTGTGTAAGAATGTATTCATTTAGCATTCACAATTTTCCTTCGAGCACCTGTACCAGTGGTTAGAGCTGCTCTGGAATACACTCTTGCTCCTTTATTGAGCACTATGTGAGAAAAAACTATCTGAAAAGATTAAACACGCTGGATAGTTAGACCTGAGAAAATATTTTACTGGAGAAATATGCATTCAATTACAGCTATGACGCCTAAATGAGGCAAATCCTTGGCGCTTTCTTGAGGGATTATACAACGAAAGACGCCCTCTTGTCTCAATTTTTCTCACTGCACCGGTTTAGTACGATAATGATCATGGCAACGATTAGATTTTTCAGGACAAGATATTAGTATTCAACTCCTACTTTCACGGAAACTGGCAGCAAGAAGAGCGGGCACCAGTTGCGTTTCCATTCGAGACCAAACAGATCTACACGATAGAATTCATCGCTAGCGGACAGAAATCTGTCATGGTGATAATCTTCTATTTCATAACTCAAAACTTTAGTTCTTAGTCTTATCTACTTAGTAAAGACTTAGTAAAGCATGTTACAATCCCAAGCATTTCATCTTTAACGTCGTCCAAACACCAAGAGCTCAAACACTTTGTCATGATTAAATAGCTTATGGAGTTAGACTTAGATTCAGTTTTCCGATGGATGAACAAATAAAATTGGTTTTTAAACAAACATTTCTTCAAAAAAATGGACATTTAGTGGTCATTTTCCGTTTCAGGTGCATGTCAACGGAAACTTCTTGTACGAGTTTCGCGAACGTCAGTCCGGTTGGTCAGTGTCGTCAATCGACATCGGTGGAGATGTACACATTCATTCTGTACATGTTGCTTAATTAGCCTATTTTGCAAGATCTTAGAAGGGCCTATTTTGTTTATCATCTACTTTTCTGGACCTGTGTCCTCGACACGACAGGACTAGAACCGCTCAATAAAGATCGATACGTTCATTTTTGTGGAATAACCTCTAACCTTGACATTAAAGCAAAACTATACTTTGCGATGCAACAAACGATTTTAAGACGTGAAATGACACCCACAGAGAGTTTAAACCTCAAACTTTCAACATAAGATAAGGCGAAGAACATCGGATTTTGCGTGAAACAGTTAGCGAAGGATTATACCGCAAAAAAAAACAAACTAAAGAGTCACATTTTCATTTTACTTTTTGTTGAATTGTGATTAGGTGCTTTGGAAATGTTGGTATATTGGGAACTAGCATGTATTAAAGGATAAAAGTTAAAATTTTAGACGTTGATAAAACCCTAAAGGATGCTTTATGCATGCTTCATCAAACATTGTTAGAGGTGATTGAACGTATATCTATCCTATAGAATGACTTTCCATGACCTACCGATGTAAAGTCGAATGTCAGTTCTTCGATTCTAGATGGATGGAAAGCATAATGAGCCTTAGGAGGAAGATCGAACCAGTCACATGTGTATAGCAGAGCACCTCTAACCACAGCGATGCACCCTCCTTATTTTTCAGTGGCAGAAAAAGTAATAAGAACTGCTCCATAGTCATACCTCCCAACGGTTTACCGCCTCATCGTGGCTTGGAGGTGTTCCTGGGTGGCGGACAGATGTACAGCGGGGATTCATCCCTTGGTAGCGTCTCCCAAGCTGATAAGGAGTCCGGTGTTTCCATCAGGAAGCCTTGCTAAGAGTGAACCAATACCAGGATCCACTACCGTCCTGGTATCAGTCGCATGGTGGCAAATCTCGCTCTGATCCACAAGGGCTGCGACTGCCTGTGGTGGTGAAGAGCTGGGGCAGACCTTGGTCAGGCTGACCTCGAGGTTCCAGGAAGCCACAGTGGCTTAACCAGGAACTCTCCGAAAAATGGAGATTATGCTGGGGCTCGCAGAACTAGTGAGGATGGGCCATTCAACTATCAAGTAAGTACCAAGTTCCGTACTCATATTACGTAGATAGTTCATGTTTACCTAACGTCCGAACCGTTTAAACGTTTAAGTTATAGCAGAAAATCACAGTGCACAAATAAGGACGGGTAAAGCCTTTACTGGTGTCTGCTTCGAAATGGATTTTCCAATCAAAATGTGTTATAGAAAAAGACCCATTTCCAATCGTTCACCACCTGTTGGCGCATGTGGCGTTTTCCCAGGTACCTAAAGATCGCGGATCCACCGTTTACAGCACGTAACGTGGCAAACAATAGTGTAACGAATAGAACTTTTACACCAACCTGGTGTCAGCTCAGTCATGTGCTAATAAGCTCAGTGTGTAACCATGAGAAGACTGATAAGCTGCCGTGACTATATCAAGATCTCACACAGATAGCTAGGCGAGATGTGGACCAATATAGGCCCTGTCCTAGCGACATTCGCCATCTACGCACCCACCTTTCGGCTCTGAGCACATTCGCCTTCTGCTCACCCACTTCAAACGATGACAAAGACGAGATCTAAGTGTTTTGTGTTAACTTGGAGATATTCCACAAGAAATCGTGGACGACAACCAACGGCATTCGACATGAAGCTTAGAAAGAGGTGAGGCTTCTAAACGTTTTGGAAATCCTGATTTGCACCAGAAGACTGTTCTAATGAACATTTTATAAAACTTGATTCTCATCAAAAGATTGTTCCGATGACTTCGTCGATTTCCAGAAATGGAATCATCCTTAAGACCTTTTGAATCTTGGAAAAATAACAGCGGAAAATCAGGCACTGTCGATGAGGTCGATGCAATCCCAGATGTACGCCGAGGTCGACTAATTGATGCAGTATATTGAGCGATTTGTTTACAAAACTGAGCAGGAAGCAAAGGGAATCCGAAAGCTTTTCTGGCCGTCACTTCGGCTTTCAGCCCTTTTCGAGCTGAAAGGCCGAGTAAACGGCGATGGTCAGGCGTCACATTTGTACTTAGGCCTTCGCTGAAACGGGAATTTCACCGTTGGTTGGCGTGCAAAAAGTCTGGCCTGTTGTTCGCTTTATTATTACATTACCTTTTTCTTTCCTTCTTATCCGGAGTAATACTCGATATGAAGGATAGAAAAAGTGCCTGTATACAAATATTATCGATGACTATCATCTGCTTTACGTACGACTAAACCACAAGCAATCCTGATAAGAACAATCATCGATTTGATGTCTAACGAGAGCTGTTCCTCTAGCAAAACTGCGTTCGTTAACAGGTGGCCAGAAAGATTTATAAGTTCTCCAATTTCCCAATAATTATCACTTGGCATGGATTGATTTAACCTCACGTTCAAGCATTTAGCAGCGCCAAATTTGAGGATGTCGCGCGAGCGCTTACATGTGATAATATCTGTGTTAAAGTGCACGACTGGTATCCATGTCGTCTTCCTTCCGCTGACGAGATCGTCCCCATAACAATAAACGTTAACGCACAGTGCCAGCTATGAACAGTATACTGTTGATACATTACGGCGCAAGTGGACGAATTGGTCACAATGGTATCCATGCCCGTGTTTAAATTTTTACCTACTGCCCTCTTACTTTTCACAGCAGGATATTATTTGAAACACAACCACAATGATCCTGAGTGATTTGCAAAGATTTGACCCCAGGCCAGATTTGATTATCGATTATATATTATAATATTATATCGACTATTACTCGCGATTATCCTTTCCGAGAGCTTATGTGTTACCTAAGCCACCACTGAGGCTCTAGCTATGTCTTTCTCTCAGCTAATGTTTTACCGTAATAGTCTATTTCACACCATGCCTTGCAATGAAAAAATAACAAAAAAGAACGATAAAGCTCTCGACGTTGATCAATCCATGTGAGATGCTCCATGGCACTTGACTTGACCAAGCACTGTTAGAAGTGAATGATTGCATATCCAGCCTATGCAATGACTCGCGGTGCCCAATCGATGTATGAAGTCAGCAGTGCTCCCAGACAGGTCTGGTATCAATTTCCCGATTCTGAAGGTACGGAAGAATTGGTGAGCCTAAGACACAGCATCAATCCCATGTGCATTGCAAGGCGCCTCTAGCCAGTGCAGCACAAGCAACCCTTATGAAAAAATAATACTGGACATCAACAAAGTACCTGCTCGCCGATGCAGTTTATCGGATTACATCCTTCTTCAGTCGTTACTCCAACAAATTTTTACCGTTGTCTTGAAACCGTGCTAAAAAGCGGTTATTTCTTTACGTAAGACCTCCATAACTTGTCGGTGTTACCCCTTCACAGAGATCGGAGGGAGGGTTTGGCTGGACTGAACGAGACTGAATCAAACCGTACCATTGGTACGAAAACAGAGTTCATATTCTTCTCTCAAAATCAGTTGTCCTTTGTGTTAATGTGACCACCACATGGTATAATCGTCGACAACGTCCCTAAAATGAGCTAGTGGTATCCATATGTTCGCTATACTGACTCGGCCTGAGAGGATTTGGAGAACATGTAATTTTCTTTATTTCCTTCATTGTCTTGTAAGCACAGAAGTAGGCCAATTGCTATAAGATGTTTGCTCTGAGAAATAGAAGTGCTATATCCTCATTGACATATTGAAGTTATTGCTCAACTAAGGTAATTTTCTCTGGAATTACGAGATAACCCTATTACAGCTTTTCGATGTGGTCGTCACAGATAGTAGTTGGCTCACATAGATCGGTTTCCCTCCGGAAATCACTGAAAGGATTTAAGCCACTAACCACTATGTAACCCATTGTTTTATCCACAGAAAATTGATAGGAGAATATGTGAAAGCTTAACAAAACCAGATAAGTATAGGAAGATTTATTTCCTAAACTACAATATGAACACATAATCCCTTTTCATATTCAACCAACAATGGACAATGAACGATCGAAAACATCACTAACCCTACAACGCTCTCTAAGATTACTAAGCTAAAATGAGGTTGGTAGAGAAGTAACAACCGTCTAACGTCTCGACGTCTTCACCTTGTTCAAAGTAGTCATGACCCAAGTCGATAACCCACAGATGGTCATCCTTGTGATGAGGGTGCTCTTTGTCGTAACGAGTCGAATCCACTGTGGTGGAGCACCCTACTCGGCGGTGCTCTTTCTATACAGGACGGATGTTGGTTGACTCCTTCCATCCACTATGACTTAAATTTCGGCGGGTAACCCGTCCTGTAGCAGTAGTTCATTTATTAGCTAGCACATAGATATACACAGAAAACACACTAGATAAATTCTAGATCAACCTCGTTCTAGCTTAGTGATATTAGAAAATATTGATCACTTATACCGTAGTTAAATAATTGTCGGTTTATAAACCACTGATGCATTATGTCCTAGCTAGTATATGTCCAACTGCTATAGGACGAGTTGCCCGCCAAAAAAGCAGGCCATATTGGATTGCAGGAATCGACTAACAACCGTTCTGTGTAAAAGGGCACTGTCGTGGGAAGTTCCCCATTCGAGCAGTGCACCTTCCACTGGAGTCGACTCGATAAGACAACGAACAGGTACATCACATTTGATGACCACATGCGGACTAAGGATCACTCCACCTGTAAAGAAGATGGAAACTTCTAAACGTTAGCTAAATAAAATTGTTGTAGCAACCTCGTGTTGGCTTAGTAACTCTATATCATATCGATTATTTATACCGCGGTTACGTAATGGTCGCTTCTTAAACTATTACATATGTGAATTATGGAAGTCCTTTTGCGGACCATCTTTCCTGTTACACATGTGTACACTACTTAATATGATGAATGTTTCGATTTATTGATGAGCAGCTGACACGTCATGGAGACCGCTCATTGCTTTGCACCGGTAACATCGCAATAGTCTCTTCAGACGCCGGCTGACACGGTCTTCTTAGGGTACCTGGTCATACCAAATTCCTTGTGATTGCCCTACAAGAGACGAAGCCAACTAGACGATGGAACCCTTGTCACATTTCCCATCTAGTCACCTCATACGAAATCCTATCCACTGCACCTGACCATTCTTCGTCTATAAATTCCCCGTCAAAAAAAGTCAGTATCATCACCTGCTATCCTGGCTGATGGGCGCGAACTGGACACATTCTACAGCCATTTGGAGAAGGTAATCTGCAACTAAAAGTCCTTCCATAAACTAGTTGTTGGAGACTTCAATGGTAGATTATGAACAGCAGGCGAAAATGAATCGAGAATATTACAATGCGAAATAGGAGGAAGTGCGAATAGCATATCTCTTATACAGGAATTCATTTTTCGAGAAGGGAGAAAATTGTTGATGGACATGGGAATCTCCTAACGGCACGATTCATGCGGACATCGACCGATCATATTCTCATGGATAGAAAACTGTGCCTGTTTGACAACTCAGTGGTGCCTGGATTCTGTAGTGGATCCTATCACTGCCTTCTCCGTGGGAAGATTCGATTCATCCGTAAGCTGGAGATCTTCCTGTCGTCGTCCAAGAAAAACGCAGTAAGTTATGTATAATGAAGGTATTCTCAGTAGTATTTTCTCGTATGGCTGACAAATAACGGAAGAGCCGACCGAAGACTACGAGCTAGATGTCAAAAGACCTAAAAATTGTGCAGAACTCGCTTCAGTTTCTCAAAAAAGAAGTTCAGACGGCATCTCCATCACCACTAAGGACTTGTTCGGGAAGAAAAGAAAATCCACGACGCATAATAAATGGCAATTTCAGACGATCTTTGCAGAAAGATTAACATCGGTATAGGCTAAGTGTTAGGAAGCAGCTCAAAAATGACCAAGTCTGTAGAAGTGTCGGTGAGATCTATGCGACTATAGTGCTTCGCTATCCGCCTTAATATGATAATGGAAAAGTTCTAAATCAGTCTTTTCCGTCCCATAGTGCTCGCCTCGGACCACGAAATCCTCGCCGAAGGAAGATGGCTCGGGATTTTCTCCTCTAAAGTTCGCGTCGTGATAGGCAGCTTAAAGAGAGGCACTTCCTTCCATCTGGAGGCCACAAATAACGGGTTCTCGCAACACATGTCGCATCTCGCCTTTTGAAGAAGAAAATTTCAGGCCAGGTCACATCGCGCACGGTCATCCTGCCCTAAAGGGACACCGAAGGAATCATCGTGTTTATCGTCCGATGTACTTGCTGCGTGTAATCTACGAGCTGTTTACGAACATTATCCTTTTGTGCATACCAAAGACCTTAGGTAAGACACAAGCAATTCAGTAAGCAGGATACCAACAAAAGACACTTCTGTGGTCCACAGAAGTTGTTCATTCTTGCATTGTTGGTACTACTTTCCGTCGCTTCGAGACAAATCGAGTACAGTGGAGCACCGCACGAATGAACGAAGTAGCATCCCTAGCGCCGCTCTTTTATCCCCGACTCTGGCCACGCTGACGTGACCTGACTTCACTCGGCAACTCTCCAGGATACAGGACACCTTTGGAAGATTGCCAGCCGGAATTATTCGCTTCCTTTGTGACAATCCATCCTGCGACAATCGGATTAGTAATTAGGTTCTATATGGCAAAGCGAGCATTCATTTTCTACCTTCATTAATTCAGCGTTAATTTATGAATAACTTTTGTTGCAAATTGCCCATTGATTGTCGTGTACCATTGGAAACTGCCGGCTGAAGTAATCTCATTTCAGCGCCGCTAGAATCCTATACTTAAGGGCAATGCTGAGTAACGCTACTTGATTTATGATTTCATACCCAGCTCTATTCGATTCGTCTGGACGTGACGACAACGAGGACCAACAATGCAAGTAGAAACAAGTGCTGTTGACACTTTACTCAACTCATTGTGGCTCTGACGAAGGTGAAACCTCCGGAACGTTTGCCATAATAAGGATTTATAAGAACCTTAAGGAGTGCGTGTAGCGCAGTGGTCGGAGGCAATATACATGGATGAGGACTGCCTTCTTTAGGAATGTCCTTGAAAACTGGCCGCATCTATTCTCCTTGGACTTCTGGACTAGCAGGGAAAGAGAGTTCCTACTTGAATTACACAGAGTGGACTGTTTTCAAGGAAGTCTGGTATCAATTTCTCGATCGCAAAGAGCTGACAGGCTTGGTGAGCCCAGGGAGAGGTCGAACCAACATGGTGCTCGTGATGAAGAGCACCACTAACGCTAGCGCTACCCGCTCCATAAATGAAACAATAAAAAAAGCATAAAATCGATCCCCGCTCCAGCAAGCCCTACATCCCTCTGGGGTAGTCAAATTGCTACCAGAACTGTCTGGGAGGATAGCAGCACTGGGTCGGTACATTGGTAGGCCACCGCAAGTCTTTGTAAGGACTAGATAAGCATGCAATCGCCTCCAACGATACTTAGCGATGTCGAATGCATGGCGCATCCCTCAGGGATATATGAACGCCGTGGGCTTTATCCCTTATCACTGACAATCTCAAGCAATCTCACCAATAAACGAAAATATTTATTGTCCACATCGAGATCCAGTGAAAGTCGAAATTGAATGAGTGTTCCAATTCGAATTCCATACTATTGTATCGTAAGTTCTCAATGATAGGAATGTTCAGAACCGATTTCAGTCTTTCCATAAACGTCATATATACCTGAATAATATGGCTGGGAATTTAGTATGCACCTGTTTACCTGGTAGAGTCTCACTACCCAATGTGTATTATAGGTGTCGCTTCGCGGGCGTGTTCCGCAATCTCACAACCTCCTGTTGGTATTACCTGTGTTGCCTCACGACAGCACATTACTGTACGTATTACTGTTTTTTCCCAAATTCAACAATAATGTTATGTGGAGCGATCTGTTCAGTCCAGTCCTCTGTGCTCATTATGCTCTTTCTTTTAAAAGTAATGCGATTTCGCTCTTTTGTTTTCGGTCTGTTGGCCTCTTTTGAACAATTTCATAGTGAGATTCAGATTGAGAACATTCGTTGTCGCCCCATAGATTGTTGAATACGTCTGGCTGTCTCTCCCAATTGTCATCTATTCTCGCTTATAGTATCCAATCAATGTTACAAGTCAGTGCGTCATTTTCTTGTTCAACAATCGCGAAGTTGCTGAACAAGAAAACGAGGCATTCGTATTCCAATGCCGAGGTTAATAGAAAGTTATCCTGGGAATTGTTGCAAGTTAGTATTACTAGAAGCAGTAGATCGTCTCTTATTCATCTGTTGAATAATTCGGGCCTGCAAGCGGTGAATTGCATTTCTTCGCGCTATATTTATCAATATTAAATAGCTGTTAGTGTTACTGCAGAGGTACCGAAGGAATTCTGGAAAGACCGTACCACTTCGATCTGAGTCTGGATAACGGTACCGGTGTTCTTTTATCAAACCTACAACTGTTATGAATGCACCAGCCGCCTTCGAATCGTTCTTAATCTTCGATGGTGAACGGAAGATTTCCATTGAAAATGATACGAAGGTTGGTCATATTTGCTATATTTCTTAGTTCTTCGGATTTGTCTTTGGATGGGATTCGGATGTTGGTTTTCCCGTTCTTGCTGCCTTTAGGTACCAAATGCTGCTGTGTTTACTATCAATAAAGAAGATCATACTCTGGGAAACTTGCTGAAACAGTAAGTAGTCGCTTTTATTCGTGATATCTATGTTGTCCGATCTGTCACTGGTTAGCCTGTGCTTAGACTATGTACTCGTGCAAGAGTCCTCTAAGGATAAAGTTGAACTGGGGCCTGAGATTGGCACATTTTTATAGGAATAGGTTCTCTTCGTTGTCTTAATGATTAAAAACATGTTTATTTTCTCGCTGTAGAAAAATCCAGCTGGTTCATAGCGTAGTGGAATACCTGCTATTCCTCTGTCTAATGCTGACGTGTCCTTGCACACCCAAACATGTTTGAAGATGTTTCGCTGTTTTCCATGACAACAACTGTAGACGCTCTGTTAACTTTCCATTTACTGCTTACTACTATTTTTCACGACAGGGTATTATGTGTGATGCTGAGATATTTGCAAAGCTCCTGACCGCAAGTGTATGAGCTGAGGAACGAACGCGCTATTACCCTTTCCGGAAGCTAATGCGTTCATTACCACACCATGCGGGTCTTTCGTTTCGCCTGTCTCTCAGCTAGTTTTCTGTCTGCCAGTGCAATCAGTGGTCACTCTTCAATGGGAATGATCTGGGGAGCACAAATAGGCATCGAACCCAGTTAAGCTGAGGCTGTAGTTGAAATCACAGTGTTAACTCCTTGTTTGTTTGTTTTTGTTTACTTACTTTGTTTTTTTACTTTATTACACAGTTTGTTCAGCCAGTTATTGAAGGATCCTATGGTATTGTTCGCGGGCTATAAGAATCCTCATCCTCTTGAACATAAGGTAAATTTCTGTCGCGTATCTTTTCCTTCACAGACTAGATCGTAAATTCGTCTTTCTTCGTAGATATGTTTTGTGGTCCTTTATAGATTCTGCTTCGAGTCCAAACAACAGGCCAAACAACTCCAGCAGATGCTCTAATCAATGCTATCACTGACCTTATTGCCGAACTTTCGTTATTCGAAGAAAGATTTCGGGTGAGTTCAGTACTTTGTTTCGCAGAGACCGTAGTGGATTTTTCTGTTCGTCTAGGAGGCTGCCGAAGGAAAAAGGAGGATGAATGAAAACATCTACTAAGTTTTTTTTTGTCTGTGGAATTGCATACATTGTTTTATTTCATTCAGTTGCTCCGGAATTGCGTACATGGTTTTACTTCACCTAGTTGTTGCTCGTTTTTCTAACTTACTTATTTGTTTCTTCTATTTCGCTTCATTCAACGATTAGTATTTTTTCCTTCCTGGCTTGTGATCCTTTACGTGTTGCCAGAATTCGTCATGTTGTCAAAGACCAATATTATCACGTGGAATGTCTTATTGTGAGAATATTTGATAACTGTTTGTGGTTTGTGATTAGCACTGATGAGGAATAAATGAATGTTTTCAAGCGTGCAGTATAACGATCCGTGTTTTGATCCGTGGTGACGTCCACGTATACTTTCTAAAGGTCTATTTCCAGCGATTATTGGCTTTTTAGTTTGAGCTTCTTACAATTTGCCAGTAGCTACAACGAATGTAAGAGAATGTTGCTTGACCTATATGTAGTCCAATTCCTATTATTTCTGTTGCCGGTACACTGTATTTCTGGAATTTATGACGTGGAAGAAGTGAGGCAAGTTGATGTTTATTTGAAGTCAATTTACTTATTTTATAAATATTTACCATATTTGTATTTCAGGAGCCGTTTGTACGAACCAGATATTTCCAATATTCTCTCTGGAATCGATCCTTCTTTCAATCTTAGCACCATTTCTTCTAGAAACAAGCAAAGTGTTTTAGAGAAGATTTTTTCAGATTTGCCTTCGGTTCGCTGATTGCTAAATATCTGTTCCGTTTACCGTTATCTCATCGAGAATGTTGGTTTTTCCAGGATGACGACAAGGGATACGTATTTGTCAAAAGCAAAACTGGTCAATCGTTCGCATGCAAGCTACCAGTGGCTGAAATTACCGAAAAATCTCAGCCAACGAGCTATAATCCCAAGTATCTCGCTGAGTTGGTCACGGCTAGCTTCTACATTAAAAATTGTATCAGTAAGGTATGTTATGTTATCAATACGTGTTTTATTACTAAATTGAGACTATCATAGTTGTATTAAGTGAGAATCGTTTTATATCAGTTCTCTTTTGTAGGATAATGGATGGTGGAAATACAAGTTATGTAGAGGTGTAGATGTGAAACAGTGGCACGGAGCAAGTATGTTTATTTCTGGAGTTTAGAGCATCCATGCTCTTTCTATTCATTTTTCAAACTGATGAAGCTTCCAGAAAACGAAGCACAACAAGTTAGTAATTCTCTTGGAATCTTTCTTGGGAAGTATTCTATAGCTCCGTATGAAGTAAGCTTCCGAAATCGTATTTTTATGCAGTTTATTTTTAATTATTACTCTAGTTATGTTTTTATTTATGAGGTACGTACGTTAGCAAAGTGTGCACTTACCTTATTTTTTATTCTGCTTCCTTTTAAAAAAAATTTTGTATACCCAGTTTTCAACGCAAGATAGGTTGATGTATTTGGAAGAACATTATGAAGGTGGAACACTTTGTGATCTCCACGACAAGCAATCTGCAAGAAAGACTGCAGTGCGGGTGGGTGTTCGAATCTAAAAATATACGAAGCTTAGTCGGCATTATTAGGCTGTTTTCTACTGATGGGAAAGGGTTCATTATAGCTACTCAGCCTTCGTTTTATTTCTGCATTCTTAGTACATTGAAAAAATGTTACATGACTGTTGATTAGCGGAATATGCTGAAGCGTTTATAACTGCGTATGTTATTGTTATGAGCTTGTAATCATGTCAGTTTTCTTTTCAGTACGAGTGTGATCCACAGTTATCAACAAGTGAGGCTTATATCGACCATGTAGAAGAAGTGGTATCATGCGAATATGTGATTACTGTGAAAGTTGGCTCTTTATGTAGCCTAACTGCCTTTATGCCTCCCAACCTTGTTAGTTTTTTTTCTTCGTGATTTATCTCGCCGTCGTTATACCTGTACTTACTTCATTACCCGCTATCATAAGGGGAAGAATCAGTGCCGCTATTCGTAATATTTTCATGTTAGGAATTGCATCTATGAATTTCAGTGCTAGTGACAAATCTTCGACCTTCTTTGGTCTTTCTTTTTTTGTAGTTTCAAATTACCGCCGTTCTGGTACCAGATTAGTCGTAAAGTGGCAAGCCCTAATCCACAAGGTCCAGCGACTGAATGTGGTGGTAACGACCTGAGGAAGAGCGGCTAAGCTGCTGACCTCTGAACTCTAGAGATGCACAATAGCTCAGCCTGCATGACTCCAGCCTTAGTACCGCGCACACTGCGCCATGAGACAACCAGTGAGAGGTAATGAAATCTTGCGTTTCACAGGATGTCATTGGAAACGGACAAAATGGACATGCCCATGACTCTCCATAGAGAGTATTTCTTGTTCTGCACCTATAATACAGAACATTCTTTTTAGACGCCGATCCTTATTCTCTTCTTGAGGCTGCTGGTCACATCATGTTTCATGTAATCGCCCTACGAGACAAGGAAATCAGGGAAACCGGCATGCACCATTTAAAATGATGGGACCCTTTTAATTCGTTGAGGGAAATTTCTGTGGCAGAATTTCGCAGGAGTTGGCGTTGCTGTACACCCATCTAATTTCCATCTAGTCACCTCATAAAAATCCTATCATCATGTTTGGTCATGATGCTTCATTTCCAACTTCTCACAGGAAAGTTAGTATCATTAGCTGCTATCTTAACTGATGAATGGTAACTAGGCGCATTCTACACACAATTAAAGGGAGTACTCTACAACGAAAAGTGCTTCTATAAATTTGTTGTTGGAGACTTCAGTGCTAGGTTAGGAACGGCAAACAAAAATGAGTACATTGTAGGGTAATTGGGAATTGTAGATCAAAGGGAAAGTGGCAACCATCTTGTAACACTCTTATGCGTAGCACATCTTTTAGATGGGAATTCGTTTATTGCAGGGAAAATCGGTGGATATAGGAGTCTCTTAACGGCATGACTTACGTGAAGATCGACCGTATTTTCGCGAATGGAGAATGGTGCTGTGCTTTTTTGGCACCACGCTGCTACCTAGATTCTGCGCAGGATCTGAACACCTCATTTCTCTGTGCGAAGATTCGATTCGGCCATTAACTGGGAAACTCCTGTTATCGTCCAAGAATAACGAAACAAGTCGTGTATGACGAGGATATTCTCAATAAAATCATTTCTTCATATGAGTGGGAGATAAAGGGAGACACAACCGAGGGCTACAAGTTTCCTGTCGAAGGATTTAAAACTTGTGCCAGACCCATCTCAGTTCCTCGGAAAAAGAAATTCATTCCGCATTTCCATCTACACTAAGGAGTTGCTGGAAAAGAAGGGAACTGAAGCTTGCTTCTACTGCAACACAAGAAACATAGCTGATAAAAAATTTCAGCTGTAGAAGATCTTTGCAGGATGTACATCGGTACAGATAGAAAAGTTATTGGAAGCATCTCAGAAACGATCCTCTCTGAAGAAGTACCGTGGGGAGCTTTGCTATTATAATTTTCCGCCATCCTCCCTGACGAGCGAAGATAGGATTGGCATTGCATCCGGCTGTAACATAGAATTGATTGCGGAGAAGTTCCATACCCATCTTTTCCGCTCCACGATCCCGGTTCGAACCACCAAAATCTCCACTAGTGGAAAACTTACCGGGATTCTACCTCCTGAAATTCGATTTACGGTAGAAAACACGAAGAGAGACAGCTCCAGGAGACGCTCTTCCCTCGAGTTGGAGGCCACAAATTACGTGTTCTCGCAACCCATATGACATCTTGTTTTCCGAAGGAGAAAACTCCAGGCCAATGAACGAGGTCGCGCACGATAATCCTGCTCAAATAGAATGACCGAAGGGATCTTTGTAACTTCCATCTGATGTGCTTGTTGAGTATACTCTACAAGCTGTTTAAGAATTACCCTTTTGCATGTACCAAGGACCTTAGGTGAGGCACATCTAGTTGGTCAAGCAGAATTCCAGTAGGAATTCTGCTGCATGGACTACGTACCGTTTCATTCGTCGTAAAATTCAGCTCGTGGTACACCTGCAACTTTTCTTAACCTTTACTGTCTACAGAAAAGCGTTTCACAGCTTCGAAGTGGACGTCGAAGCGAATGAAATCCTGTCAGTGTTCGTAGACTAAGGAGTGGACACGTGTTGCATAAGAACTTTATCTGACTGTTATCGGAACTGCACCACAAAAGCAAGTTTTCCCATCGACTCGTTGCCAAACCCATAGAAAAATGGATTCAAGAATACAATATTGCCAAAGAATGTTTAATGCTGCACTGCTGTGGATAATTAAGTTAGTTGGTTGCGGCGAGAGGAGGTAGGTGTTAGTGGAAAATTCCTATCAAATCTTCGTTTCGCAGACGATATAGATATCAAGAAGTACTAGCAGAAATGATGTTAATTGTGCTGAACGAAGCGGGAAAAAGGACTGAACTGCGCAGAAATATGACGAAGATCCATTGCATGAGGAAACCTTGGTGCGAACGTGAACAAATCGAACTGGATTATTCTCTACTTACAGAAACCACGTTGTACGTGTACCTTCGACGTTCAGTAAACATGGGGAACATGAAGGAGGTACCAGATTGAAGGGGAGAAGTATGGGCCGCATCAGGGACTCTCAAATAAGCCACTGGCAAACTATCAGCCCAAAAAACCATGCTCATGTTTTCGAGTTAACGGTTCTCCCAGCGGTCCTTTATGTAACGTGGGTTGATGATTCAACCACCTAATGAATTCTGGTCGCGACGCACAGAATAAAGTTTAACCTGCACGCGCAACGTCTAGCTGTAATATGCAGCGTAATTTTCTTAACCTAGCACATCTTCGAGGTATAGAAAAATATATAGTGACGGCGAGGCACAGACGGGCCGGTCACGTAATAAGAAGAACAAGTGACAGTTGACAAAAAGATCATCGGAGTGCACTCCAGGAGAATGCAAGCGTCTTCTTGGACGACCACACGAAGCATAGAAAGAGGTGTTCATGGCTAACGTCAACCATCCTTAATTCTCGAATGGATTTTAACGCTATGAAATGGGCTTTGCAAACGTCACCGCTTTTCTGCAAACATTTTAAATTTAACCATGGCATTAATAGTCAATAATTTGTTGCATTTATGGGCTTACACGTATTGGTTACAAAAAGCGCTTGACTGGAATCACCCTGACTGTGAGGAAGACGAAAATGCCGAAACTTTAGCACAGTAAGCAGTTCTTTCAAAATAACCTCATGTAAGCTCATTAATATAGCCATCCATTCTACTTTACAATCGTGTTCACTTCATCCACAGTTTTCGAAATACGTGAAGTTGGAGAACTTTTAGATTCAGTCAAAACCAATTGTTTGTCAGCCATTCGTTTCCAAAGTAGCTGTTGAGAATTTCTTGGAGGATATAATCCGAAAGAAGGCTTTGAAGGTTGGAGTTGCTAAGCCGTAGCAGTGCAATTTTTATTCTTTACTTTGAATTGTGACTATATGTTTTTAGAGTAATGCGGCGAAGCGTGCTTCAGTGGCTTTGGATCAGATGCGTCGCATCCAGCGACGCCGTGCTTCAATGCGACGAACTGAACTTCTCAGAGATTCATCACTGCAGAAATCTGCCTTGCGTTTTCATATCGACGAGCAATATCAGGCAGCTGTTAAAGAATACGTAGGATTAGCTATTGAAGGTGTGTATGTATAAGGGCGCGTGTAGCGCAGTGGTCAGGTGCCGTGGGGTCGATTCCTCTGCCCCAGGTTTACCAAGTCTTTCATCCCTCCGGAGTTCGGCAACTTGGTACCAGACCTGTCTGGAAGGATAGCAACACTGGTTCGATACATCGGTAGGCCACCGCCAGTCATTGTAAGGGACAGATATGCATACAGTCACTTCCAGCAGTGCTTAATGAAGTGGAATGGAAGGGGCATACCTCGGATTGACCTACGCCGAGAGCTTTTATCCTTTTTATGTATAGCGTATAGTTGCTTGCAATATCTTCACGTGATTTCACAGCTCGCTTGGGTCACGATGCTCACCAGAACTCCATAGATAGCGTTCAGATGTTATCTCGAGAATTTGACGATATCGATAGAGTGTTCTGTGAGTTCCACATCTATTTTCCACATTTTGACTGTTATTGTTTCTGTTATGAAAAGAGAGGCTATTGTCACATTATTGATTGTACTTATTACAGATTCTTTTGACTATGAAAGTGAGCGTGATCAAGATACTGGTAATCTATGGTACTATTTTCATGATAATCTCTGGAACAAAACTCACTTTCCTAAATCACTTAATTATGTCGATGTAATTGCTATCCTTTTTTGTCCACTACTATATGCCAATTCATTTTACTTTCTGCCATATTGCTTCGTGACACTAATTTTCTAGTTTAGATCATGAATTCATACTTCACTTCTGCTTCGGGAATGCTCAAACAGTTACCAAATACAGCTCTGGCACTGCGGCTATTTCCACTTCTTCGTAAAAACCCGTGGAATGCTGACGAAAACCTGTTGTTGCATGGTGGTGTAAGCAACACTGTTAGTCTTATTTTAGTCTTAGTCTCAGTTCTTTATTATAGTGCCCACACCGAGCAAATGTATATTGTACGACGTTTTCTGTTTCAGTTGCAGTTGGCAGCTCTAGAAGACGTGCCGCCATTTGTTGCAACGGATGATGGGTTTCTTAATGATGAGATGGCGAAGAACATTGCTGCTGGGAGAGAACTGTTTGGATTCAGAGCGTGAGTTGAACATTTCACTTCTTATTTCTCCATAATGTATCCAAGTCCTCCCAACGATTTACCTTCCCCCCTAATCGTGGCTGGGACGTGTTTCAGGGTGTCTGGCTGCGATGTCAAGCGGGGGTTTCATCCACCCGGCAGAGTCTCCCAGGCTGAGAAATAGTCCAGCGTTTCCATCAGTGAGCCTAACTAATAGTAAACCAATAGTAGGATCAACCACTGTCCTGGTACCAAACTGGTCGCACGGTGGCAAATTTCTCTGTGTTCCACAAGGTCGACGGTGGCTGCCTGTGGTGGTAACGACCTGGGGTAGACTTTGGCTAGGCTGACTTCTGGGCTCTAGGGAAACACAGCGGCTAAACCAGCAGAACTCCGAAAAATCGAGAAGGTGCCGGAGCCCGCACAAACAGTGAGGACGAGCGGTCGAACTAAGTATCCAAGTAATGTTTCCAAGTTGTTATTATTTTTTTAAGCAAAGAAATTATAAATTGCTTATGTTGTCGTAGATTTTCGAATTGTTCTTAGCAAAATGTGCTTATCAGCCAAAGAGTACACACTGGTCTTTTCGCAGTGTATGTTACTTTTAGGTCAATGTTGGTGAAATATTTTATTGAGTTTGTTCGTGATCAATTTGCCAGTGGTTTGGAATTAGTGAAACCGGGCGATAGCATTGAAAGAGTGATTGGTACACAGTTGGTTCCTGTTTACAAGTATATTGAGGTATATCTTACTTTAATATGTACGGAGTTTATTACGAGTTCTCGTTCGTTCCTCAAGAATGGGCGCCTGTAGCGTAGTGGTTGGAGGCGGCCTGCAATACACATGGGATCGATCCCAGCGCTGCAGGCGCATCAAGACCTCCATCACTCTGGGGTTGGCAACTTAGCACCAGACTTTTCTTGGAGGATAGCAACTTTCCCTCAACGGTTTACCGCCTCATCGTGGCTGGGAGGTGTTCCTGGGTGTCAGGCTGCGATGTACAGCGGAGGGATTCATACCCCTAGCAAGGTATCCCAAGCTGAGAAGGAGTCCGGCGTTTCCATAAGGAAGCCTAGCTAAGAGTAAACCATTACGAGGATTCATCACCGTCCTGGTATCGAAGTCGCATAGTGGCAAATCTCCTGATTCACAGGGGTTGCGTCTGCCTGTGGTGGCGAAGACATGGGGCAAACTTTGGCCAAGCTGACCTCGGGATTTCAAGAAACCACAATGGCTCAGCCAACAAATATCCGAAAAATGGAGATTGTACTGGGTGGGGCCTGCACAACCAGTGAGGACGTGCCATCCAAGTACCAAGCATCAATAACGTTGCTGCAATAGCACACTTCATCAGCAGGTCACCGCCAACCTTTGTAAAGGCCAGATGTACATCCACTCACCTCGAATGGTGCTTAATAATGTCGAATGCATGGTGCATTCCGCAGGGATTGATCAACCCCGGTAGCTTTATCCTTTTTTTATTCCAAAGAAAGTTTACCAGCCATCTAACGTTAGTTCCAGAATAACATTAGTGGTTTTTATTCTCCTTAATATTTAATGTGATTCTAGTTAACTCTTCTCTACGGTAAAGAATCTTTAAAAGACGATGTTCGTCGAAACATGGAGGCTGACATGACTAGAATGCTCGATCGACTTTGCGTTGCTTACGAATTAGCTCAAATAAGGTTTGAATTCTACTACTAGAGCACGTCTGTGAAGTCTGTTTAATGATTTCTTTCAATTCTTCTTATCGAATCCTTGCATATTTTGTTAAGGTTCGATTTGGAGCGTCCTAATCACGAGTTGAGTTTTGTTGGCATTAGTAAGAAGTTGCCGAATTCGTTGTTCGATGAGTGGGTTTCTGAATAGTTTGAGTTTAGTTATAAGAACGTTCACTTATGAACTGTTTTTACATGATTATCGGAATGCCTAAGTATGTACAAAACACTTAATTGATTGTTTTATACCATGGTTTTTCAACTCCACGTAATAGTCCTCGTTGTAGTTATTACGATGCCACTGTCAAGAGCAGATCTGATCTGACTAAAAAGGAAATCGACTATCGACTTCGCAATGTGCGCTAATATTAATTTGTCGTCTTACTTGACGACACGCGTAGTTTTATCAATCCATTAGTTCTTTTTGGCTTTCGTAAATTTGAACTACTCTTCTTAAAAATGCTCGCTCTAAATGGTACCATCTTCTTTTTCAGACCATGGTGGAACTGTTGGAGCAATATGGTCAGCAACTATTTCATGAACAATGGCTGTCTACGTCCGAGTTATTGTTGTATAAAAAACGAGAGCAGGTTTAACTTTTATTTGTTGCCGGGTATCTTTTACGACTGGGTGTCGTGTTAAATACAAGCACAATGTTGCTGAGATAAGAGGAAAACTCGTGGGCCCCGGAAAGAGTAACCGCGGGTTTGAAGCTGGCTTGGAGTTCCGAGTATTGTCGATATCTCAGCATCATTGTTGAGAGCGAGTTTGTTTACATTTTCGTTTTTATTGAGCTCATACTTTATCATGTTCTAGGACATTCGGAAGTATGGTAGGCACTCACTTGATCTGCTGGAAAACTCCGTTTTTCATGGAAAAATGGTGCTTAACAATGCTGACGTCAGGGAAGTAATGTCAATCCTGAATTCTGCCGGACTAAAAGGTTGACTTCAGTGCTTGTTGTGTTTCTAGAGCAATTACGTACTTCAATTTGTTTCAGCTGATGATGTCAAAGTGGAGATAATTGCTACGAATCTAATGGACGAGGCACCTCAAAAATTTTCCAGTGAAGAGTTACGCGTTCTACGAGAGTTAATTGACCGACAGATGGACGATATTCGAGATATAGCACGAATCAATAAGCGGGAACAAGCCTATCAAACTGTGATCAACCAGTGAGGAGGAGAACGAGTCGGTTCCTCCTAGAAGTTCCTTTGTAATTCATTCCTACCTATTGTGCAATGCCTTAGTTTGTCGTATTAGAAACACCATGGGCTCTTCAATGCTTCTTTTTCCCTTTATAGAAACTTTTAAATTCTGTACCCCGTTTCGTTTTATCTGTTGTAAAGTTTGGGAATTGTTTTATGTGCAATGTTATACTTTTACGTGGAAATCTTCGTTTTCTTTTTCTCACGGTACTATGTAACCCTTCTGAAGTGATTTTTCTCTTCACAAAAATTTTATGTGACATCATCGTCATATCCAGATTGCTTCCTCGATTTCTTTGAGTACTTTGGGCTTATACTGAGTCAGGCTACTAGTCTCAGAGGTTGCTCACTTTTCCAAACATCGTCCACAATTGAGACATATCGCTTCGGTATTAGTGTTGGTAGGGTGGTCTATCTATGTGTAGAGTTCATGGATACCTTTTTTTGATACGCCACTGTATATTTCGGGTCATGTTTATCGTGGTTTTTCCGTAGTTGTGATTACTATGTGGTCATCTTTGGAGCATTACCATTACCGTTCTTGCTCAGACATAGTTCTTGTATACGCACTCCTATAAGTTATTCGCGCTTTTCAAGATTTTCATCAAATGAAGTCTGATTGTGATGAATTCCCGTTTTAAAGCGGTTTATCCCGTGGGATTTGCTATTTGGTATAAAGTGATTGAGCTGTTATAAACGGAGAGAAGGTTAAGTCCTGATTTTTGTTTTTGTTGAAGTTTAATTATTTCACTGAACGTGGAGGATCTGAGATTGAGTAGGCTTTCCATGAATTCTATGAATTTCGACAATGCTTGGAGTGCTTCGTGCACTTTCTAGCCTAGAATTATCGGAACTATTGTAAATGCCATCGCCACTTATAAAAAAAGCAGGGGCTTCAGATAGAGCTAAATGTCCTGGGTGGTGTTGGTCTTCGAAATTGCTCTTCGACTTCGAGTAGTCATGTCATCACTGGTCTAGCCGCTTAGCTAAGAAGTAACCTGCTTATTTTTCAGTATTGAGAAACAAAGAACGGACTGTTTCCACCAAGTAAAAAAGCAACTGCGTATTTTGAGTTTTCTATTCGCGGTATCATTCTATGTGACCACCCCTTGGTGTTCTCACCACTGATCCCTAGTTTTCTTTCTCTTTTGTGTTGCGTAGAACATTTTATCAGTTTGTTTTAGATGGCGAAACTATATCCTTTCGAAGTTCTGGAGAAGGATTACTATATGGGTGAAGAAGCAACTGGTGGTGGTGGTGGTCGAGAGAGTGACGAAGAACTCAGGTTTGTCAGATGTCTTCTGAATTCCGTTTGGAAAATAGGAGAATAACTTACGTCAGGCATCATAGTTCCGTCTGCTGTTTTTAAGTTACTTATATGTAAAACGAATACAATACAAATGAGCATATTGCAAGTATAAATGAGTAGATTGCCTGTCGTTCTACGTCTCATGTATCGCAACAGGGAACTACCCAGAAAGTTTGGGAAGGTTCTTCTAAACTGTATTGATCGATCGTATAGATTTAAATATACTATTATTATGGTTAGGTTACTGAGATATTTGCAGAACTCTGGACCGCAGGTGTCTATGGTGGGGAACGAACGCGCTATTATCCTTTCCGGGGAGTAACGCGTTCACCACCACACCATGATAATAGCGCGTTCGTTCCCCACCATAGACACCTGCGGTCCAGAGTTTTGCAAATATCTCAGCAACGTTGTGGTTGTATTTCGCTTAG